TCGCCATGAACTGACCAAGGCTTCATATTTTTTTACTTGGGGTTGTGATATTTCTAATAATAATATAATTATAAACCTACATTCTAAAATCAAAATCAAATGATATCTGCAAACGTTATCAGATATACCCAATTAATGTACAAGCAAATTTCAGATCTCTTAAAAAAAGTCGACTCATGTTTATGTATTCACACACAACATGTCAATAGGCGATAGTAGTTTAAAAAGATCCCATGCAGCGCCACCTACTTTTTGCTCGCTATAAATGTCAACGAATCGGCGTTTAAAACCACATAATGATAAATGAGGCCAAATATTGACAAAGTGAAAGATAAAAACAAAGGGAACTTAACACTAGGGGCGGACCAGTGTCAATCTCAAGAACAAATATAACGTATATTTGACGAAAGAATTACGTGACAAGTTTAGTTTGTTTGTACCGCTGTTTGTTTTGTTCTGCTGCCTGGGAGTTTAAGAATTTAACTTGCGTCACGACACAAAAAATTATAGGTCCAGGAATTGCAACGGAAGCATAATATGCAAACAAAGAAAATCTCAAACATTTGATAAAGACCAATATTGGGTGCGTTTGGCAGAAAAAAGCGCTAGCAAGCGCTTACTAAAGCTAAAATAGTTTTCGGCCGGGACACGATTGTTACTTCAGTAGCGTTGACACAATCCGCCATTTTGCTTATTTAATTTGTTTGTTTTGAAGTAGAGTTTATAAGTTGTTTTTTTTTGCAATATTAGTTTTAAGTAATATAATGACATGAATAGACATATACATGTTATTAAAAATTCATGATTGGTAAGTTTTTAATATGAATACTACACAAACATATATTTAAATTAGGTTAAGTTCCCCGGTTAAAACTAACATCGTGTCCTAGAGGAAAATAGCTACGTACGATTTGACAGCGCTTACCGCTTACGATCGCCATTTTGCTTACAAGCGCTTGCTAGCGCTTTTTGCAGCCAAACGCACCCATTGTTTAAAAATTTGATACAAATCCAGTTTGCATTAGGTGTAAAAAAAAAACAATATTTTGTGGGAGCCTAGAAAAGGCCTATGTTTAAAAGATTTTGATGAAAGATTGAAATATTAGTATTTAGTTCATTAGTTTGTTAAATATTTACGTGTCCATATGTAGAAAAGTGGGTGCATCTTTGTATAGATGTGGTTCCCTCCTGGATTGAGACGATAATGATAATTAAAACATTTTTTTTCAGGTAAGGGTTTTTTACTTGCCTAAGACTTTATCTGGGATTATGAACAATTTTGTACCTATTACTACCACCAAACAATAGTGCATTTACTGCTGTGTTTGAGGGTTAAAAGAGACAATTTATTAATTTTCGTTTCATTTCCTCATTTTACTCAGGTAAGGCAACACATTTGTGGTTTAAATAAAATAAATTTTTTGAGGCTGTCAGGTTTTTTGGCTTATAGTAGTCACATATCATCACATTGACTCGTGGACCCTTCTGTTGAGCTAGTGTAACAATATTATACAAAAACATGTTTGTCAAGCAGTATATATGTTGAATTATTGAATGAGTGGTCAACTGAGATTTTTTACATCAGGATGGCAAAGATACAATTATTTTGTTCATAGTGAATCAAGGTGACTTACTAAAATACATCGTTATATGGGATACTGCTCATTAGGGAATTTATTACAAATTCATGAGAAACGTGAATGACCATGGGGTTAGTAAATGTAGTCAGCCATATTATTGGTTGTTATTCAAAAATTGTTATATATTCATCGATCAAAGGCTCAAAAGACTTTTCGTGAAATACATACCGTGCTTGCACATTACGTCTTTCATATCGGTTGACTAATAACAAATATAGGTAAAATAAATCATATTGCTACATAAGTATTTAGTATCGGAAAAATTTCTCAAACAATTTGATTATAAAGTAGAGCTTGTCGTAACAATCGTCGCAATGACATGTCGCAAACCGTGAGAGAAAACAATGGAACGGCCCCGTGGGAACGACGTGATTGCCCACCCTAGGGCCGCGCGTTCGACTCCCGGGTCGCGACCGCTGAGTTACGCCGCGGAACGGTGGGGTGAGAAATGCGAGTCCGCGCTAACATCCGGAATTTATGTTCGCATTATTAATTTATTTATGACTTGAATACCAAATTTCAATTGAATCTGATTTTCAATTATGTTATAGGAAAGGATTAAGTGTTTGCAAAAGGGAATTTCCATTATATAATAAACATTGTACAAACGTTTTTAAAATATTATAATCAAAATTCCACAGAATTTTATACGAACTATTATTACGAAAAGTAGAACTATTTTTGCAAGCTGCTAAAGCAACCAATGAATTGAATTGAATTAATCGATCAATGCTTAGATACTGAAAATTATCGTTAAATTAAGCTACCTATATTTTTCCGTTTACTTTAATGCGAATATTTTAAAATTATATTTAATATTTTGAACAAGGGATGTCAGTATTACCAGACTTGTATTTAAAATATTGTATCTATTTTTTAGATAAAATTTTATAAAATCATTCAATTAATTAATGTTAAGTTTTTTTTAGCCTTCTTTAGCCTTTTAAAACTATAGTTACTTTCTTTTATCATTTTTCGTCCTATTATTATAGTAGGTACGTAGTATAGGTATTTGTAAAAGTATGATTAACGTAATATTAATTGCGGATGTTGTTCTATAAAATATGAAATAGCAGTATTGGTAGTTTTTTTTAAATTTATATGGTCACAGAACGGCGAATTTCCACTTTTAATTTTTTCGTTTTAAACTATCTAAAGTAAGAGCAAACACGGCGCTAGTTTTGTAGAATTCTTTATCAGGGGTGAGGGGGGGGGCGAAGGAGGAATGCCAGTGTTAAGCGATGGATTGCAAAGGGTTGAAAACATGATGTAATTAATTAATAAATAAAATATATCTTATACTTACTATTTAAGTGGGTCTACGGTTCTCTAACACGCACAATACGAAACACGGCAGCGTGGAGCCGCTATTTTACGCTGGTATTCTGTGAGAGCGTCCACGCTCACGTCATAAAAACATTCATTACGTACGTATTTGACACCTGTAAATAGTGTAAAATGATGCATATTATGTAATTTTTTTATTTGTAACAAATAATACATCTTTTATGTTACTTTAAGTACTTTATGTGATTATTATCGACCACATACAATGTAATAAAAAATAAGTCAGAAGTGCCCCACAAGAGTTAAGAGTGAACGGAGTTTAAATTAATACCCTTTAAACACTGGGGCGTACATTTCTACTAGGATTAAGTTAGTTCTGTCTCGAGGGACGAAAAAGTACCCAAGTTCCATCAGCAACGTGCGGGGATTTGATAAATCCCGACTCACCCCTTGCGTGTTGACAGCAATTGATTGAAATTCGACTTTCTCCGACGCAATTGACTTGGACTTGGCAATTCGTGTACGACAAAAATATTTTCAATTCTTTTGACTTTTGAAATTCTAAGTTATTAAACACAGAAATTTGAAATAAGTACGAATATGATAATAGGATTTATTTATAAATGCATTGCTTTTAATATAAACCTGTGTTTTTTTATATAAATGAGTAATTTGCGAAATATGATTTTATTTAATATGTTTCACATTACTTGTTCCAGTAATTATTTTATAAATTTGCTTTTAATGGTTGTTTTCTAAATGATATTGATAAAAATACTATGGGCTTGTTTTAATAGTATAGGATATAGTGTCAAAGTTAGAAGAGAAAAAAATGACTTGATTAAAAATATTCCGCTAAAATAATTAATTATATTTGAACTATTATAACTTCATAATATATTAACAGAGATAATTTAATTTCTGATTTATTAGGAGCCAAAATTTTGCTATAGCACCAGATAAATAAAAAATGTAAATGAAATTTATTTTAAAACTTAATAAATAAAAATCGTTGGATTTGGTTTAAAAATAGTTATTTTAACAGCTCCCGTTGATGTCTTTTCTACGGTGTTCAGATTTATTGTAGCCGTAGCGGAATGTAAGGATATAATATACCTAAAACATTAAGTGTTGCATATTATTCACAATTTATTGTAGCAATAGGAAATGTTTTGTTAAAGAAATTATATTTTTAAAAGTATTAATAAATTTGTGAGGGTAACTTGGAATAAATTAATTAGCATCCTTGATGATCGTTCTAGTTATTAGAGTTGTGCAAATATGTAGATAAAATGTCGAAATATTATGTTTCTAGTAAATAATTTAATGACTAGTCGAGGTGGTGTAAGGGTTTAGAAACAAAAAAGCAGATACAATTTTAACGCGTTGTTTATTGATAACTTCATCTCTTTCTTCAATATACTTTTGTGTCCACTGACTATATAACACTCACTGTACATTTTCGTATTACAATATTTAAGTCTTTCGAGGCTTTATAACGTTTCGTTTTTTATAACAAATATTTTGTACAATACACGACGGGCGTACGAGTGTGGCGTCGTGGCACAACTTATCACTATCTACCTACTCTTTACCTGCTAACGCTAACTTGGAATCTAGCCATTAACTCTATATTTACATATTGTTCAAATTTTTTTGGTATTCATATTACCTCGATCAATACATCATCTGACGCTCAAAATCACATTTCACGCAAATTTCACACGTCCGTCCGCACGACATAGCTTAGAATATTTAACTTAAACCATGAAAAAATACAATAATTGTAATATAATACAAGATAATGATCAACAACATTTAATTGAACTTCGGCCTTTGGCGGTGAGCCGGGAACACGATAAAGTCAACAGTTCTCGTAACACTAACATCGGTACGTTATAAAACAAATAAATGGACATACCTAGGAGTATGTACGGCAGGGAGATAACGATCACTGTCTTAACGCGACTATTCGCAACAAAGTCACTGTGGGCAACACGAGGCAACTTGGGGCGCGGCGACATGGCGAGCTCATAGCGGCGGGATGTCGATGTCGCACGCGAAAGGCGATTCTCAGATGAGAGGCATCGCGCGCTCACCGGCGGCCGCGTATCGCTGCTCGTCGGGCACGTGGTACATGTTGATGATGTGACTCAAGTCCTGTTGCCCGTATTCACGCTTCATAGCGAGCTGGTCATGTGCGTGAGCATGCGGCACGTATTCACGTTTTAGCTGCGCTGGAGGTTCGTGTGGCACAAACTCGCGTTTCAACCCCGGTGGGCCCGGCGACACTGGCTCAGATTTTGCAGATGAACCACTTGGAGAATGCGACGCACACGATGGCGGCAACGCGTACCCGCCTGGTGAGCCGGGACCTAGTCCGTAAGCAGATGGTGACGGCGGTTGGGGTAGATATGGTGAACTCTGTCCTCCGCCATATCCATATCCGCCACCGTAACCACCTTGCTGCATTTGTGACACGTCGTAACGCGGGTATCCGTAGGCTTGCTGCTGGTAAGCACTAGGGTCATGCATCATATATCCGTTGGGCATGTATCCGTTTGGTGTCATTTGATATACGTCGCGTGGCTGTTGTGCCGCCGGTGCAGCCGCTCGTTGCGTATCACCTGCTCCTAACAGTGCACCGCCACCGAGTGGATATTTCTCCTGCTTCTTAGCTAACGTCTTCGTCTTCCTCCGTGGTCTGTATTTGTAATCAGGATGTTCCTTCATGTGAACAGCGCGAAGTCTCTTCGCCTCGTCGATGAACGGTCGCTTCTCAGATTCAGAGAGATCTTTCCATTGTGCACCAAGACGTTTAGATATTTCGGAATTGTGCATTTTCGGATTATCAGAGGCCATCTTCCTGCGTTGCCCTCGCGACCACACCATAAACGCGTTCATTGGACGCTTGACACGGTCCGCATTAGAGTTCTTGCTGTTGTTGTTGTTGTTATTATTTGGCGGTTGATGGTGTTGTTGTTGGGGCTGTGGGTGGTGTTGGGGCAACGGCTGGTGATGTTGGGGCTGCAACGGCTGATGTTGTCCAAGCGACTGCTGTTGGGGCAGCGCCATCATGCCGCCGAGCGCGCCCAGGGACCCGTAGCCGTGCTGAAGCGCATGATGCGGCGGCACTGTGGCATGTAGGCTGCCGCCCTTGAGATCCGTCTCCATCGTCAACATGTCGTCTTCCTGAGGCGCGTACAGTTTGCCGATCCTTCGTTCACCGTACACAACGAGAGAGCTGTCGGTCGCTCACATGGACTCGCGGCGGTGCGCGTCGGGTAACGTGTCGCAAGACCGTACGGCGCGAAGGCTACGTGCGTTGTGAGGAGCTGGAGTGCCGGGCGGTGGCGACTGCGAGCCGCGCTTGCCCCCGCGCGCGGCACCGCCCGCCGGAGCTGCGCCAATGAGCGGACCGCACGGCCCCGCCCGCCCGCCGCTCCCACCCGCCGGAGCCTGCATTTTTAATCGCGTGGCGAGCGAGGCGAGTGCTTGCCTCGCGTTGCGTTCGCCTCATGCAAATCACAATTTTGTTTGCCGACGGTGGTTGCACCTTCTCAACCTTAGCTTAAAATGTAAACAATACACACTCTTTCTTCCTTTTCTATTCAGCACTTTATTTACAAATGCCTGCTTTAAAAGAAATTTATATGAATTTTATTATTACAGTTAATAATCGTGATAAGCATATTGCCTTACAATTTTGTTTTAAATATCATCATAAAACCTTTCTTTTCTCACATAGTTATTCATTTTTATACGAGTCCAAACATCTGAGTTTGCTCAAGTGTTTATGTAAAGTTCAAGGCCCGTGTGACAGTATACCCACCAAAGCTACACCATGGCTTATGTCGAAGGCTTTTTAGTATAATTAAATATATTAATTTATAATGGAAACTTTTCCTTATTTATCATAACGTACTGCCAACGTAACTGCCAACAATCCAATTTTATAAAAAATAATTTATTTGCACTATAATATTTCGAAGTAATTGAACATTTTCCATATTTATTATTTCTTCAAACTTTATGTGACATAAAATGAAAAAAAAAAAATGTATTTCGTATATCCATATACTAATTAGTATTTTCGGTATTTCTTTTAAGTACAATTTAAAAATATTTTTAAACTAATAAAATGGATACATTATAATTGTAGGTAAGCTAATTTTATGAAAGATTTTGTAAATCAGGTTATTTTAATCTTATGTATTAGATGTCTCTTGTTTTGAGAAAATTTATTAATATCTAATATTTTTTAATTTACTTAGTAATTATTATAAGTTGTTGATTGTATCACTATTCTGTTAGAAAAACAAAGATCTCTTCTAATTTTATGAAAGATTTTGTAAATCAGGTTATTTTAATCTTATGTATTAGAGGTCCCTTGTTTTTGAGAAAATTTATTAATATCTAATATTTTTTAATTTACTTAGTAATTATTATAAGTTGTTGATTGTGTCACTATTCTGTTAGAAAAACAAAGATTTCTTCAAACTTTAACATTGTTTAAAATCGTTCTAGTTAAAATTTACATAGAAAAATAACTGATTAATATTTATGGTCATCGTCACACATCGTTACAATTCTTCTCAAATTCACTAGATACTAAACATAGGACGCCCCACAAGTTTGCCATAAAATACGCTCCTGAGCCATGCAGCCACCGACTTCCAGTATAACTTACCATGAGAGTACTCCACCTAGTGGGGGGCTGCATTATACTTCGCATACTAGTACAAGGCTCGAGAACCTTTGTTTCACATCAGTTGTCGGTTGTATAACAAAGTTTAGATATTTAAAAATAACTGAAATGTGTGTTGATTTTCATGTAACAACATTATCTTTAAGAAAATTATGAGTTGCCATCTTATTTATATCTTAAATTATCCAGTAATAAGTCTGACGGTGTAGTTCACATAAACGTTGACATAACGGTTTATTTTAATTAACCTTAATGTTACCATTACATCCGCATAGATTATCGTAGCGGTAGTTACTGCAATAAAACAATTACAAGGATGAAAAAGAGTTTGTTTACTTATTGAAATTAGCCAAATAATAAAGATTTAATACATTCAAACAAATATTTTTATATAGGTACTTTATTTTTATTTTCTTTGACAAATACAAAAATAGTGAATGTTTAAAAACAAAATTCATAGCATTCCTTTTTTATAGAATAACAAACAACACAGTTGACAAGTTGACAGTTCACCTGATAGTAAGTGGAGGCTGTGGCCTATAGACACCTTGATCTATACCCGATTTAAAATACCGCTTTTTGTCACCCCTGAGGACTACCTTTTTGACAGTAAAAAGGATCTCCGGTTCCCTTCACTCAGTATAAGAAATGCAGCAGCATAAAATTACATTACGTTGGTATTCTGTGAGAGCGCGATTATTCCCCGGTTGAACCGACCCATTTGTGCTGCAACCATAATATGGCTATTACAACTTGTTAACCATACGCAGCCACATATAATTGACTAGTTCTCTCTACAACGTGAGAGTCCCATGTACAGCAGTGCACTTTGAGGTACCGGTAAAAAGAAGAAAATGCATATAATTAAGAGGAAACGCAGCCAGCGTTCTTGGCACTATACAGCGGGGAGTACGACTGTATGATGATGTATGGATGTAAGCTTTTGGTTTTAGTTTTTTTATTATTGTATAAATATTGTAAACTTATTGTTATAAAAAGTTCAACCACATTAAATGTCATAATCAAAAGATCTTTAACGAAACATTGCTTTTCCTGGATGTGGTTGATCACTTGCAGAAAAAGTTGTATGTTGTCCCGTACCCAACTCAAATATATCTTCTATTTATCTATCTTTTGATTTTATATACAATAGTCCATAAAAAGATTTATTACGTCGATTTCACATTATAACTATTATTGATACCTGTGTGTTAAAGCTATGCTGTACCATAATATCTTCAGCGTGTAATAGTAGAATAATGCTGCTTTGTTTTGAATGGAGAGTGACTAAAACCACAAACCTTTTTAACGATAATGTGATCTTCAGCGGGGTTTGTCAAGTTGAGTTTTTACAATCTTTAACTCCAACTGAAACTATAAACTTTTATTAAATTAGCGTTAATTCTCGTCATTTCCACGTGACGTAACGTTTGAAACATTATTTTATTTATTTACATATTTTATATTACATACACATATTACATAATATTCCATGTTTGCGTGAAAGATAATAAAAAGTCAAATTGGCTAACTCCGTATCGTTCACATCACATCTTCATTTGGATTTTTAATCGAGAATAAAATATACCTACATAGCTAATCTATGCTATGGCCCGAGACATTCACTTACTATGAGATATTAAAAAGGAATCGGTTTATCGGATGCCGTAAGAAAGGATTGAGTGATGAGGTGATAGCTGATAGATGACAATGGCAGAGGAAGATATTTGTAGAGGCTAAATAACTTCGAACTTGAAAGAAGATGTTATATAATCATAAACTCAAGTGAACTAACGGTGTGTTACTTCGACGATGTTTGTCGCGGTACGTCCTAATACTCCAGGTAGAGGACGCAATTCTTAGAATTGTTAATTTTACTGCAGAGGATTGTTGCCTTCTCCTGGAAAGGCGCATTGTTTCAACGGTCATTTTTGTTAACTATTTTTATGTCTCATTCGAAATGGACAGTTTTTTTTTGAACATAAGTAATTAACTTTCTATTGTTGCGGGTTGCTTGCTAATTAGGGTATGTGTAGTGTTCGTGAGCTCATTCTCACGGGTATGATAGGAATAGACGATAAGATAATAAAAATTCAATGTTTCAAAATAATTTATTTTGCTTAGAAAATTACACTTTTCTGTTGTAAAAGATTCATCGGATGTTGGCACAAAAATAAAAATAAAAACAATGAAATTTGAAACTATTTTAAAGCATTAAACTTTACTAAATTTAGTGTAGGTGCAGACGCTATTTCAAAATATAACATATTCAAAACTGTTTTAACATTTTTTACGGATACAAAACAATTATCTTTAATTTTTTTAGTATTCATTTACAGAAAAATAGTCCAACCAAGACAAAAAGTAGTACTAGTAGTACACAAAAAGAGGAAGTGGTAGGTACAAAAAATATTTAATAATTTAAGTATTTGATTTTCTTAAGATAGATGAAAGAGCGCAGTTAATCATTTAAATTATAAAACCATAATTTCTCTGTCAGGTTATTAACAAATTTTTTATTTCCTTGTATTTCGTTTGGATAGGAATACTTCTTTATACACTTTTAGGACTTAAACACAGTGATAGACTAGAGACTAGAAACAGACTTCAGTTTTATCTGTGAAAGTACAGCACACTCTCACTGCTACATTTGCTTCAATTTTTCTTATAACATTACAAAAATAAATTAAAAGGCATCATTCTATGAGCTCATTCAATGATGTGGTGGTACCTAATTAGAATATATTTTGGTGCCAGTGCATAGCAGATAATTTTGAGCATGTTTAATTTTGACAAAGTTTGAACAATCTAATCGTTAACCACTCTTTGTATACAATACGTATTTAAGTTTTAAAGTCAAACTCCACGCGGGCTAGCCTACGATCAAATATAAATTTTAATTTTAATATAGTATTTACACTTTTACACATACGATTTTGCTATAAGTATTAATGTTTGACATATATTTTTGCATCTGCATTTGTAATGATATTTTGAGGAGACGCAAATTAATTGAAAACTTAAATCTCCAAAATTTTAACTGTAATTTTTTAATGCAAAGATATCAATCATATTATATTAATTTATTCTAAATCAAATTCTTATCAAATAGCACCTATACTATAGTATCAATAAACATAAGATGGCTTAAAATAGAGTTCAATATAAATAAAAACTAAACTGCAAGCAAGTTTAGTGGTAGTTCTTTCTAAATTTATAGGGTTAAAGGCTGATGAGATAAAATGAATAGACACTTAAATAGGTACCTAAAATTAATTTTGTAATTCATCTACCGTTTTTTTAAGTTCATTGTTTATCTGTAGAATGCACCAACCAGCAGGCATTATTTGGAAGTATTTAGATTTAAGTACATTGGATTGGTAAGCAATATCATTTTACGACTTTTTAATGTACACTTCAATTAATTCACTTTTTATATTATTAACGGTAATAGTTATATAAATTGATAAATATTACAATCCGTGTTTCTTACCAATTAGAAGAGAGATAGGTTAGATTCATTCTCTGCATTTAGAGTACAAAATTGTCAGAGCGTGAAACGGTTTCGCACTGACTGCTTTGGACGCCATTTTGCTCTATTTTCAATTTAATGAATCCCAGTTTAGTTTTCCTCTTGTTAATTTTGCGTATTTTCGGCAGTTTAATCCATTATTATGGAATGTTGTTCAACTGTTTAGTCTGATGCCATATAATCCGATTATCAACTATTATTATCTAAGTTCCTACATGTATAAGA